GCCATGCAGCCACCTCCTCCACCTAGCCCAGGACACTCAGCTCTCCAGAGCAAGTCCCTGACCCTGTCGACCACGGGTCCGCACCTGCCCAGGGAGCTGAGCTCTCGGGTTTCGGGAGGAGGATTTTGCATGATGTTTGCAATCGCTGTGCACTTCATGTACCCATTCATTGCTTGTGATCATGTTGGGAGCCTTGGTGTGAAACCGTGGGGTCCACACGCCCCCAGAAGTCACGGCAGCAGAGTGGTAGGAGAGGGAAAAAGGGGCTTCGTGAGATTGAAACAACACTTTTATTTTGTTTTAGCAAAGATGCTTCAGAGTCCCAGGCCAGGGCCTCGGTGCCCCCGGACAGGACTGACTGAGGCAGGGGCTGGGCTGACAGTACAAGCTGGGGGCACTTCCCAAGCTCAGCTGGGGCAGGACGGCGCTGGGAGAAGAATGGGCGGGTGGGTGGGGCGCTCACGGGTTGAGAAGCGCCAGCTCACCCCTTGGAGCCTTGGTGCACTTCTGTCATCAAAATGAACTCCAAGGCTGCTGTGTCCTCCAGGAAGCTACCTGGGTGCCACTATTTAAATGGCCCTTCGAGGAGCCGTCTTCACCGGGAAACTACCAAACGGGTAAGTGACCTCCAGGAACCTGCCATGTGACCTCACAAACTGCGAATGTGGCTGAGTTTTCCATGTGACAGACTGCAATCCTGCTCTCAGCTGTAAACCTCAATTTCCACCCTGGTATTGAAGGGACCGTTTTTGACTTCTACTGTAAGTCCCACCAGTCATCCTGGCTGGTCCCAGACACAGCCTCAGAGCCTCGAGTTCTTCAGATGCTCTGAGTCCAAGATCCAGCTCTCCTGGGGCCTGCAGATGAAGCCCTGGGGGCCACAGATGGCCACTGACTGTGGAGAAGGGTGCTCTTCCCCGGGAGCAGAGGAGTCAGCAGCACCCAGGCACAGGCGGGGGCAAGGAAGGGCAGGCTCAGCTGGAGCCCGAGGGGGCTGGGTTGAGCCCATGGGCCCTGTCTTGTGCCGATAGGAGCTATGCCAGAGTGTGAACAAGTCCCTTAGTGCCAGAGGCTGGGCGGCACCTTTGTGCCCAGCCTTTTCCAGCTGTCGGTGCGTGGCCTGGGGTGGGGAACACCCATGTCCCTTATGAAGCCCTGGGGGCCACAGATGGCCACTGACTGTGAAGAAGAGTGTGCTTCCCCAAGAGCAGAGGAGCCCCAGCGCCGGGGCACAGGTGGGGGAGGAGGAAGGGCAGGTGCACGGGGGTGAGGAACCCTGGCTGTGGCTCCTGGGGACACAGGATGGGCAGGGGAAGACAGGGGCGTGGGCAAGGGTGGCAGGGGCTGGGCCAGGAGAGATGTGGTTTTATGGAGTGAACAGGAGATGGGCTTGAGTGACCTTTTTGGACAGAAAGCCAAGTTGGGGCTGCACAGCCCGGTAGCTCCCCAAGCCCCTGTTGTCCAGCCCGTGTTGCTGCCAGGGCGTCACTGCTGTGGGAGCAGGGCAGTCTCAAGTCCCTGGAGGGTCCTCTCTCATGGTCCGGAGGGGCAGGCGGGAAAGAGGGAGCCGGCTGGTTGCTCTGTGAGCTGTTCTCATGGCATGCACCTGTAGTGTCCTGTGGACCTTGTTGGGGAAGGTGGGTGCAAATAACGTTTGGGCGTTTGGTTCCAGCAGTAATGACGGGATCCCCTCCTCTTTGGCAGCCCGTGGGCCATTGTGAAGCCAGGTGCCTGCTGCTGGGGGCGGGCCCTGGGCCAACACCCAGGCAGGTGAGGCAGGGCAGCAGGCAGCCCTCTGGGGACACAGGTTCACTCCCAACCCAGGGATGGAACTGTCTGCTCTGCCAGGAGCCGGCCTCCTCTGCTTCCTCATCTCCAGGCTGCAGGGAGCAAGTGTGTTTGAGACACTCTAGGAGCTGGTCAGAAGACACCCAGCCTGGGGGAGGCGGGGCCTGAGCCCAGTACTGAAGGGGACCTGTCGGGGCAGCGGGTCTGGTCCTTCCCGCCCACAGTGCAGTGACTGACACAGAGGGAACAGGCCCCCCATCGTGGGCGGGGTCCTCTCCATCTCGACGGCAGGCAGCGTCTGAGGCCCTCTCGCCTCTGGTTCTCTGCGGCTAAGCGCCGTCAGCCTCAGCAGGGGCCGCTATAGGCTCTGCTTGGTGCTCCGTGAGTTTCTTGGGTCTGTGTGCTTATAGTTTTCATCACATGTGGATGCTTTGGGCAATGATTTCCTTACTACATGTCTGCCCTCACGGTTTCTCTTCCCTGCTGGGGCTCTGTGTAGGTCAGACCCCATGAGGGTACCCCGTGTGTCCCAGGCCCTGTCCCTTTCAGCCCTTTCCTCGATGCTCCCTTGTGGGTGGCTCTGCTGCTGGGCCCCGCACCCGCCCTGCTTCCCTCGGTCCATCTGCCGTGAGCCCACCGGTGCCCTCATCACGTCAAATTCCATGCTTCCCGTCTCCAGGATTCCCATCTGGCTCTTTATTCCCCTTTCAAACTTCACTGAAGCGAAATTCACAGAATGTCACATAACCATTTTGAAGGGCACAATTCTGTAGCAATGAGTCCACACAGCCTGGTGCATATCCATGACCTCTGCGTAGTTCCAAAACCTTCCCGTCACTCCCAAAGGAAGCCCCGTCCCCAGCAGCATTCACCTCCCACATTCTGTCTCTAAGGATTTACCTGTTCTGGGCATTTCCTATCAATGGAATCACATGCCATGTGACTTTATGTGACTGGCTCCTTTCGCTTCACTGTTTTCAAGGCTCTTCCATGCTGTAACCTGTATCAACGCCCTGTTCCTTTTTATAGCTGAATAATATTCTACCGAATGAATATACCCCATGTTTTGTTTTGTTTTTTTGAGATGAAGTCTTGTTCTCTCCCCCAGGCTGGAGTGCAGTGGCACAATCTCAGCTCACTGCAACCTCTGCCTCCCAGACTCAAGCAATTCTCCTGCCTCAGCCTCCCTAGTAGCTGGGATTACTGGTGCATGCTACCGTGCAAGGCTAATTTTGTATTTTTAGTAGAGATGGGGTTTCACCATGTTGGCCAGGCTGGTCTCGAGCCCCTAACCTCCAGTGATCCACCTGCCTCAGCCTCACAAAGTGCTGGGATTACAGGCCTGAGCCCCCATGCCCAGCGGACCCCATGCCTTTAATCCACTCATTGTTTGATGGACTCTGGAGTTGTTTACATCTTCAGTTCTTCTGAACAGTCCAGCCACAAATATGCACATGCAAATATTTGTCTGAATTCCTGTCCTCAATTCAAGCAAAGTTTCTGGGTCATAGGATAATGATGTGTTTAACTTTCTGAGAAACTGCCCACTGTTTTCCACAGGGGAAGCCTCGTTTTACTTCCTGGGTCTTTTCCACGCCTGGCACCTTGCTTCTCATCCTGCTCGTGCTTTCTGGGCCCTCTTGAGCGAGCAGAGATATTTATACCGGGTCTTTAACATCCTGATCTGCCGAGTCCATCATTGCCGTCATTTCTGGGTCTGTTTCTATCACTTGATTTTTCTCCTGGTTACGGCTCATATTTTCTTGCTCCACTGCCTGCCTGGTAATGGTTAACTGGGTGTCATATTTACTTTGTGGATTTCACTTTGTTGCTTTGTTGAGGTGGCAGCTGACCTCCAGGATGACTTCCCTTGTGTGACGCCTCCACTGAGTATGGGCTGGACCAAGTGACCCACTTCTAATAGAAATGACAAGGAGGAAGGGATGGTGCATGAATCAGACGCAGAGTGTGACGTCAGCCCCACTGGTCCTCATCCCACTTGCTGTGGGAAACTGAGTCACCAGCAGCCCCAGGGAGAGGCTCACGTGGCAGGAATCTGAAGCTCCCAGCAGCCGTCTGGTCCACCAGTTTCAAGACATTCTCCAGAGCCCAAAGTCCCGGCCCAGAGCATGACCACAGCCTCATTGCAGACCCTAGGCCAGAGCCACCCCGCTGGGCCCCTCTCCCTTTCCTGAGCCCCAGAAATTGTGGTTTTTAGCAGCCGTGTTTGGAGCCAATTTCTTACGCAGCAAGAAATAACACACTCCGTTTAGTTTTTCTTTGAATCGTGTTAGACTGCGTGGCTGCAGTTAAGTTGTGGTTAACATGATGGATCTTCCCAATACGTGCTTTTAATTGTATGTGGATGGGTTGAGAGCCCCTATGTTTAGTGAGCACATCTGCACAATTCAGGTTTCACTGCAGCTCTGCGCAGCTTCTTACAAGCAGAGGCACTCACAGAGGACGGGCGTTCCTCCCCTGCTTTCTGAGGTCACCCAGCTCCGACGTGGAGTCCTTTCCCAACCGCTTGCTTTCACTGTGCCCTGTGAGGCACCTTGAATTCTTTCCTGTGTGAGATCCAAGAACCCGTGCTTGGGGTCTGGACCGGGACCCTCTTTTCCGACATTTCCCCGTGCACCGCTCTTGCCGCTTTGTTAAAGGTCAGTTGCCGTATTTGTGTGAGTCCGTGTTCAGGCCCTCTGTTCTTTCCCATGGATCTATGCACCCATTTCTCTGCCAACACCACATTCGCTTGGTTACTATTGATAACAGTGCTTGTAAAGTTGGGTAGACTAACTCTTTACACTTTATTCTTCTTCAAAATGGCGTTAGCTACTGTAGCTCCTTAACAAATCTGTCTGCATACTACATACGGCGAAGTGCCGTGGCTCACGCCTGTAATCCCAGCACTTTGGGAGGCCAAGGCGGGCAGATCACTTGAAGGCAGCAGTTCGAGACCAGCCTGGCCAACATAGTGAAACCCCCTCTCTACTAAAAATACACAAATTAGCCAGTTGTGGTGGAGGGCACCTATAATCCCCGGCTACTCTAGAGGCTGAAGCAGGAGAATCATTTGAACCCGGGAGGCAGAAGTTGCAGTGAGCCGAGATTGTGCCACCACACTCCAGCCTGGGTGACAGAGCAAGCCTCTGCCTCAAAAAACAAACAAACAAACAAAAAATACACACACACACACACACACACACACACACACACACACGTCTATATCTGTCTACCAAGTAGCTTGCTGAGAATTGGATGGGAACTACATTAACTCTCTGGATTGAGTGGGGAGAGCGAACGTCTTCACTGTGTTGAACCTTCCAGCCCACGAGCACACTGTGATTCTCCGTGTCCTTAGGGCTTTGATTTCTCTCATTGCCATTTGTAGGGTTCAGAGTGTCAGTCCTGTCCGTGTTTGGTGAGACTTTTGCCTGCATGCTGTGTGTGTGGGATTACAAACACCGCATTTCCAGTTTCGGCCTCTGTGGACCCCTTGCATCGTGGTAGATTTCTGTGTGATTGACCTTGCCGACCTCACTCGGCTCGAGGAGGGTTTTTGTACATTTCCTGCCATTTTGTACCTGGGTAATGGTGTTCTATGCGAACAGGGCCCGGTGTCCTTCCCCTTCCCATCTGTGTGCCTTTCCGTACCGTTCTTGCCTCGTTGCCCTGGCCAGAATGACCTGCCCCGACGGGAGGGAGAACAGGAGCGGACACCCATGTCTTGCCTCAGCACTCACTTGCTCTCCAGAGACTGGGACACAGGCTCATGTGTGAGTGACAAAGTGACGCTTCCCTGTGGGAAAAAGGGCTTACAATGTAGACCGTGGAACAAAGTCTGGAAGTTCACTGACGCCTGACAGCGTCCTCCACTTCCAGCCCGTCTTGCCTGTGAGTCAGAGAGGAACCGCACTAGCAGGCAGTGAGCCCCCGTCCAGAGGCTGGCGTGTGAGGGGCACAGCTGTGCACACCTGGGCGTGGCTGAGCGGAAGGTGCAGGTCAGGATTCGGACCATGCAGACAGCCACCCACTGGCATGACATCTGTGGCATCACAAGGCTGCCATGGGGCTCTAGGGCCCTCTGCCTGCCCCACAGGCCATACCCCTGCCCCGGGCACAGATGTCCTCACTGCTGGCCTCTGACCCAACATTGTCCAGGAGCCCCGACCCAGGAGGTGCTCCCACCACTGCCTGCCAACCTGGACCTGATCCAGGCCCCTCCCACCTGAGGCCCTGCCAGGAACTGCCAGGCTGGACACAGAGGAGGTTCCTTCGTGGGCACAGGGAAGAGCCTCCCATTGTCCCAGTGCAGGAAGCTGCCCGAGGGGTGAGGATGAGTCATGGGTTTGAGGAATGGCATGGTGAGGCTGTGGGCGGGGCTCCTGTCTGCCCTCCTCCTACATAAGGCCCCCGAGCCCACACTGCCTCGGCCTCCCTCTCACTCCAGAGCTCAGAGCCACCCACAGCCGCAGCCATGCAGTGCCTCCTGCTCACCCTGGGCATGGCCCTGGTCTGTAGCGTCCAGGCCAGTGGCATCCCCCAGACCGAGCAGGACCTGGAGGTCCCAAAGGTTTGAGGCGGGGGAAGGGGGCACGTTACTGTGGGAGGCCTGGGGCGGGTGGGAGCTGCCGGCAGGCGGGAAGCCCAGGATCTCAGAAACCTACAGGAAGCGCAGAATGGACGCCATGATGTCAGGAACCCCTCAGCCCTGCTCTCCATCGTTAGGGTGGCCTCTCTGGTTTCCCAGCATCCCAGGTGACTCCCTCAATATTCGGACTTTGGAACACTCCTGAGTTAGCACACGCTGGTGGTTTTAAGTACAGGAAATTCTGTAGCCCAGCGTCTGATAGACAGCAGACGGCCATCCAGTGCTCACTGCACCCATCCCTGTTAGACTCATCCCTGCATGCATGGGGTGCAATGAGAGCCACAGTGGGGTGGGGACCCCTGTGCAGCTGAAGGCCCCCTCAGTTGGCAGGGACCTGGCACTCCATGGCCATGGCGGCCAGCGACTCCACCCTCCTGGAGGCCAGGGATGCCCCTCTGAGGATCTACATCACCTCCCTGATGCCCACCGCCGAGGGCAACCTGGAGATCATTCTGCACAGATGGTGGGTTCCTCATCATTGGGAATGGGGCTGGCGGGGGACTCAGTATTCCCCCGTAGGGGTCCAGGACTGGGTGGGGTGGGCAGAGCTGGGCTCAGCACCAGGCGTTTTCTGATAGCCAGGAGCTTCACTGTGGCCCCTCCATGAGGGTGGTGTGGTAAACTGGGGTGGCAGACGGTCCCTGTCCCCTCAGAGCCCCTGCCCCAGGCTCTGAGTCAACAGCCGACCCCACAGAGCAGCCTCAGGTCAGACTGAGGAGAAGGTCTGGGCGGCTGCAGGCTGCGGTGCTCCTGGGACCCAGGGAAGTTCCTACAGTGACCTGATTTGAGGGGTGACACTGAGGGCAACTCCAATTCAAGCGGTCACCACATTTTACCGCCACCGCCTTTCAGGGAGAACAACAGCTGTGTTGAGAAGAAGGTCCTTGCAGAGAAGACTGAAAATCCAAAGAATTTCAGGATCAACTGTGAGCATCCCCGGTCCCCAGGGGCTGGCTCAGTGCTGGCATCTGGCCGTGGTCTCCCAGAGGTGGCTCTGCTGGAGGATGGGGGATGGGGCCTGTCTCGTCTCAACTCTCTCTGCT